AAGAGTAGAAATACTTTGGGTTAGACAAAGGGGAATGGAGGGAAGTGAGCAGGGATGAGAATGGGAAAGACAATAGAATGATTCAGACATTACATTCCTATGTTCATATATGAATAGACAACCAGTGTAACTCCACATCATATACAATCACATGAATGGGAAGTTATGCTCCATGTTTGTGTAATATGTCAGAATACATTCTACTGTAATGTATAGCTAAAAGAATATTTTTTTTGAAAAAGGGCTTCTGTGATCCCTGAAAAGCAATCTCTCCTTGTTCTTCTTACATGACCTCCTGCAAATTTTTTATCATTCAGGATCATTTGCCTGGTTGAGTTGTCTTGTGTATGTCTGAGTTTTCTCCTAGATGGTAAATTTTGAGGGATTTCTTAAAACTATGGTATAAATTTACAGATAAGCATAAACAAATATATATATCATCAGGAATTGATCCATTTATGGTTGACCATTGAGCTGCATCCTCAATGGTGGCCGTGGTAGATGCACTGGCTCAGCACAGAGGGAAGGAAAACAGAGAGAGGAATACCATGGATAGTTTTAGTTTGGAAAAAACCTGAGATCAGAAAAGCAGCCTGAACTTAACTGATCCAGAGGCTGCACCATGAACTGGTGTTAAAAAAGTGCTCTGTGTTTCTCAACTGACCATTGTGAACCAATACAGGAGCCATCTTGAAGCAGCCACACTACAGGTGCTGCTGTAGGAGCAAGGAGATCACAGCAAGCATTGACATATTGCCCTGGCAAGCACCTACCATGTGACCCAGGGTGTACCTAGAAGAACATGAGTAAAACAGGCCCTGGTACTGGCCTAAAAACAGACACACAGAACAATGGTATAAAATAGAAGACAGACAAAACCACAGATACAGTCATCCGATCCTTAACAAAGGTGCCAAAAACATACATTGAAGAAATACAACTATTTTTACACGTGTTGCTGGGACAACTGTTTGTGTGTAAAAGAATGAAATGAGACCTTTATCTCTGACCCTGAAATCAACTCAGTCTGGATCAATGACCTCGAATTCGACCAGAATCTATGAAACTCCTAGAAGAAAACATAGGGTCAAGACTCCAGCTTTTAGGAGTAGGCATTGAATTTCTCAACAGAACCTCTCTAAAGCTCAGGAAATACTCTAAGAGTTAATAAGTGAGATGACATCAAATTAAGGAAGCAATTAGGAATGTGAAGAGAGAACCCACAGAATGGGAGAAAATCTTTGCTAACTACTTTTCTGACCCAGGATTAATGTCTACAATATATAAGAAGTTCAACAAACTTAACAACAGAAAGCCAAATAACCCAGTTAATAAATAAGGAAATGAATTAAACAGATACTTCTCAAAAGAAGAAATAGAAATGGCCAACAAATGACTGAAGATGCTCAACATAATTAGCAATTAGGGAAATGCAAACCAAAACTACACTGAGATTTCATCTCACACCAGAGGCCCACTAAGCTTCCACTGCATGGGTGAAATGTGAAGCCTATGACACTGGGGCGCTGGGGTTGTGGTGGCTGGAGGTTAAGAATATATTCCAGGAAAGCTCTATAGGATGTTATCATCATCTCCAACCTCATAGTTGGAATAGCCATCTAAAATCTCATTGGAACCTCACTAGATCTGACTATAACTAGCTTTCTCAAAAATTCTTCCTATCAAAAAGTATCAGGAATGAAAATCAAAGATATGTTCCTACCATTTCAAGAAGTTCCTGTACAAGCCAACAAATATCTAGCAGATCAAGTAGTTTCTTTCATCATCAAGCAAATACTCAAGCCACCAATACATCATGAAGCTTTAGCATCCAGAGAAATTCCACAGAATCTCATGGACGTATTGGAAAATGCAGTAAATGTTGTTAATATTATTAAAGAAAGCTCACTGCATAGCTGACTTATTGGAATATTATATTCAGAAATTAAAACTAATCACACCCACTTACTGTATCATATAAAAGTTCATTGGTTGTCTCAGGGAAAAATCTAACCAGGGTGTAAGAGCTAAAGAATGAGATTCACAGTTTTCTCATTGAAAAAAAATCTCATTTAGCCAATATTTTGAAGATGATATTTGGGTAACAAAATTGGCATATTTAACTGATATATTTGGCATTTTAATGAACTGAATTTAAAACTACATGGGAAAAAACATGGTATTTTCCAACATGTTGAATGTATCCAAGCATTCTCAAAGAGATTGTTGTCAAGGCAAGCAAGGCTTAAAAGTAATCGTCCTAGCTATTACGTGTTCCCGAAGTTTTTATGACATATTGAAGAGAACATTATTAATAAAACAATTTGAAGGAAATGAAATTAGAAGTATTGTTGTATATCACTTCTCTATCTCAAACATTTAACCATTTCTTTCTAGAAGAGAAACTTGAGACATTTCCATTTGCTTTTCAAAACCCTGAATCAATGATCAAGTTAAACTTAGTACCTGAAGAAGAAAATGAATTATTGTAGCATAGTTCTTCATATATGTTGAAGAATGATTATGAGACCCTAAATTTATCAGCATTTTGGATTAAGATAGAGGAAGCCTTTTTTGCTAATTAGAAAGAGGATACTGCTATTACTACCATTCACAACAGCTAGTTTGTGTGAGGTGGGCTTTTCCATCTTAACCCAGTTAAAATCAAAGGGAGGAGACAGACTGCATGGCACAGCAGGTATGTGGGTAGTATCATCTTCCTGTGCTCCAGACTGGAAAGAGCTGTTGAACAGAAAGCACACTTCTCACATTAAACCAAATCTTCCCTAGATTTTGCTTTTGTATTATTTTTAATGTTATTTTGTAATATTTTCCACTGTATTTAAATGTTAGTGGAACACAGTATGTGATAACTTCATTATGCTTCCTATTATGCTTTAATAATAATAAAATCAATGATTTTATGTTTATGGAACTAGAAAAATACAAACAATAAGAAATTCTAGAGAGAATGTGGAAAAAATGGAATACTTTTTCACAATTGTAGGAATTGTAAATTAGTACAACCAGTATGAAAATCAGTATGGAGGATCCTCAAAAGACTAGGCATGGAACCACCATATGACCCAGCTATACCACTCCTCAGTATTTATCCTAAAGAATTGTAAGTCATCATACTACAGTGGTACATGCATAGCATGTTTATAGTATAGCCAAATTATGCAACCAGCCTACCTGTACTTCAACAGATGAATGGATAAAAAATGTGGTATATATACTCAATGTAGTTTTATTCACCCATAAAGAAAAATGAAATTATGTCATTTGAAGGAAAATGGATGGAACCATTATGTTAAATGAAATAAACCAATCTTAGAAGGTCAAGGGTCATTCATGTTTTCTCTCATATGTGGAAGCTAGAGAGAAAAATGGAAAAAGAAGTTTGGAGGCTGGGATTTTATGAAAATTGAAAGGGTGTCAGTAGCATAAAGGGATCCAGCAGGTGGGAGAAAGGGAGGAAGGGGGGAAAGGTTGGGGAGTAGGGATATTGACCAAATTATATTGTTATATTTTGTACATGTATGGATATAAGAGAACAAATCCCATAATTTTGTATAGTTATAATGTACCAATAAAAATGTAGAAAATGAAAAAATAAATTAATTTAAAAATTAAAAAAAAAAAACTTTGTGACCTACTGTAGACCTACAATTTCTTCAGATAAAAGAGACTGAGGGGTAATCATTAACTAATCAAGCAGCATGTCAATCCAATCCATTTCTATACACATCTCTCTTTGCTCATAAAGCTGCTCTGTCTTGTGTTAATCTTTCCCCTCTCCTGATCTTGGAGCTGAAGATGCCGAGGCTTCGGTTTCTACAGAGAACTGTTGTAGTACAATTAATTACATATTGCCATAGAGAAGAGGGGAGGGGAGGGGAGGGGAGGGGTGATAGTAGAGGATAGGAAAGGCAGCAGAATACAACAGACACTAGTATGGCAATATCTAACTGGTTTTTAAGCTGCTCACACCTGTCACCCAAGAACAGCACATCCAATCCGCAGCAGCAGCAACAGCAAAGAATCTTCCCAATAGGACAAGAGTTCCTGGCTGCAGCCCAGACAGGCTGACAAGGGAAGTCAGAAAGCTCAGGTTGTTGAGGGGGGGATGTGTGCTTCTTGATCTTAAATGGGCCAACAGTTCCCAGCTGGTACATAGGGAGAGGCTGGCACAGGTTGCACAAGAAGCCAGAGCTGGGAGGGACTGTCCTGTCAGTGACAGAAGAGTTCTATTCTGGACCGGAAATCATCAGGAGTGAGGGTGGTCAGGGCACTGCCTCTGCCAAGGCCCCTGACATCCAGGCCTCTCACTCTCAAGGATCTGCACCAGGCCATGAGACCTGGAGGGCCTGATGCTAAGTAGCTGAACTAGAGCTGATTGAGAGCAAGCCTTGAATTGAGAGTCTGGGAGACTGCAGTGGTTGTGAAGGCTTTGGCGAAATGAATGTTGGCAGGGCAGCTTGGGGTTAGCATGGGCTGATCTTGGTTCTTGGTCCTAGTGAGGCTGTGGGCCTGGGCTGCCCCAAGTGGTCAGCTAGTGCCACATGGGGGAGACAGCTTGTTCCTCACTTTGGAGGATCATTGCAGCAGAGCAAAGGAGGGGTTGAGAGGATCTTAGTGGAGCCCTGTGGATGGTGGCAGCTGTATCCTACAGGCACTGCCTCCCTTAGTCACACTTCTGCTGGAGGTGATTGAGCCCTGTGGCAAGCTGGAGCCAGAATTATATTGTAAAGCTATAACTGGGTTAGGGACTGGCTCAGGAGTAGGGTGCTCACCTAGCATGGGCGAGGCCCTGGGTTCTATCCCTAGTTCCTCTCCCTGCAAAAAGCTGGAATCATCCTGGGCAGGAAGACTGTGGCTTGCATTTTCTTTCCCAAGGCAAGAGGTCAGATGCAGGCCCAGGTCACTCCTTGCATCTCCCTGGCCTTGCTCTTGTCTTCCATCTCCCCCTCCTGCAAGCCTCCTTTTCTCCCCACCAGATCTGCAGGGCTCCCTCGTCTCCTCCCACTTGGAGGAGTCATCTGCAGCTTTGGGTGGTGAGTGACCATTCTTTCCTTCTCTGCTCCTTCTGGAAGGGCCCAGCCCAAGGACCTCTTTTCCGCAGCTGGGCACTTTGCCCACATTGGACCCTTTCTCATTCTCCCTGTCACAGTCCACCTGGCCTCCTGACTACCTCCAAGTCAGTTGTAACTGCATCTGCAGCATAGTGGGGGTGGGGGCTCATGCCTGCCCCTTAGAGTGGCATCTGAGCTCCCTGCACTGTGCTTAGTACTAGAACATTCCCTGCACATGCAAGTGCTCTGAGCATGGTGGTGCCTAAATTAATTCCCCAAAGTAGAGGCAGGAGGACTGAGGCTTTGCCCTGACAAGTTGGCCTTGGGGTCAAGCCCAGACCCCACAGGCTGTCCTTAGTAGTGGCCAAGCAGAGGGAAGCAGTGCCCAGACAGTGCCAGGTGGGGGTGGAAGACAAAGCAGGGGACCCCCAAGAGCACTCAGGCTTTCTGACATATCCTTGATAAAGGAAGCAGGTGGTTTGAGCGCATCTCTCCATGAACCTCAGTGGTCTCACCTCCTCCCCCAGCCCAGGTACCCCAGGAAAATCAGCTGCAGCCTGCAGTCAGAGGTCTCCCCTTTCTCTCCAGAGCTTCTAGGGATTAACAGATCTCTCTGTTAACTTGCTAGACAGCCATTAATGCCCAGTTGGGAGTGTGCACCCCAGCAGGGAGGCTGGTGACTATTGATCCCCTCATATTTCCCTGTGTCCCTGAAGTGTGCGTGGGCAGGCATCCCACAGTTGAAGTGCATTGCTGTGTCTCCCTGGGGCCTTGCAGATGCAGGGTGTCAGAGCTTGTTCCCCACCCTCCTGGGGGAGTCTGTGTGGCCTTCTAGGCGGAACCCTGGCCCCTCCACACAGGTGTGCTGGTGCTGCTCTCACTCTACCTGACCTCGCTCTTCTACTGTATCCCCAAGGCTGTGCTGGCCACCATTATCATCATGGCTGTGAACCCACTGTATGACACCAAGATCTTTGGGACACTCTGGTATGTTAAGAGTATGTATATGGATCAGGCAACAGAGCCCACACCTGTCACCTGGAGGCTCAGACAGGAGGATGGCTAGTAGGAGAGCAGCTGGGCAACTTTAGCAGGATCCTCTGTTAAAATACAAAGGGCTGGGGTGTGGCTTAGTGTGAGAGCCCTTGCCTAGCCTGTATGAGGCCATGCAGTGCAGTCTCCAGTGCTAAAAAAATATGTATATTTTTTACAAAAGGAGAGAACATTGTAGCACTGTGTCTGCAACACTGAGGGCATGCTTAACCACATTCATCCTCACTTCAGACTTCAACTCTGTTTAAAAGTGATTCTGTTTTTTTTTTTAATTGAAGCAATAGCTTTGGCGTTTTTGTAAAAATCATAAATGCCTATTGTAAAAAATGCAGAAAACCACTTCCCTAGCCTCTTTGCACTCTGATGATCACCCAGAACTTCCTATCCCTGGGATTCATGCATCTGTCAGCATGTGGGCACACTGCTGGCTCCATGTGCTCCATTCATGGTGCTCTGTGACCTACATTCTCATACATCATTTGCTATGAATTACTGTGAAAATGAACAGTGTCAGGATAAATGGTTTCTAATGTCTGCATCTATATCATAATATTCATAGTGAGCTCTCTGTTCAACTGGAATATGGATTGTTTTACTCTAAAAATTCATTTGTTTTGTTTTATTTTAGGGGGATTTTTTTTTTGGTGGTACCAGGGTTTGAACCCAGAGGCACTGAGCCACACCCCAGCCCTTTGTATTGATTTTTTTGAAATTTTGAGGCAGGGTCAGCCTAAGTTGCTGAGACTTGGATCCTATTGTGAATTGAGCTGCTGTGAACATTGATGTGGCTGTGTCACCATAGTATGCTGATTTTTGTTAGAGTCTGTAAACAAGTCAGGATGGCGCCTGGCATTTTGCCAGAGAAATGTTAGAGTCTGTAAACAAGTCTGGATGGCGCCTGGCAAAATGCCAGAGGGAGTGGTTTGTGAAGTAACACCAGCGAGCCATTAAGTGTGGAGATTCCTTATTGGTTGACTGATGTATCTAGTTTATGTTAATTAGATAAGCTGTGTGGAATGTATAAATACCTCTGTTGTCCTGCAATAAAGGGCTCCCACTCCTGCTGTATCAACGTACACAAGTTGTTTGTCACCCCCCACCCCGGTTATTTTGCTGCAGCCAGCCGGACTGCGGCAGATTTTAAGTCTTTTGTGTGTAGCCAAGGAGTGGGATAACTGAGGTCAAATGTTCGATTCCAAGTTTCTGATGAATCTCCATACTGCTTTCTCCCAAGCTGCTGGGATGACAGACTCAGTGTGAATTTTATAGGACCAGAGCATCTCAGTTTGGACCAGTTGTTCCTGAGGGACATTGGTGGCTGCATGTATATTATAATATCCATAGTGAGCTCTCTGTTCAACTGGAACATGGATTATGAACAGATTGTTTTACCCTAAAATTCACTTGTTTTGTTTTATTTTAGGAGGGACAGCACAGTGGTGGAGTATTCAAATCCAGGTGCTGTTCCAAGCAGGTGCATGTGCATGCCTGCACTCTTGCCTTGGGCTGCAAGAGAGTGAGGCTCTGGACAAAGGGGTATGGGGCCTACCAGGGCTATGCCCGAGACCAGGGTCCCCAGCTTTTCCCCCAGACTGGGTGAACTTATCTCTCCAATCCTTACCTTCCACACCTAGGTGATCTTTCCAAGGGCTACTGCCCAGGTTGGAGCAGGTGTGCATTGTGGCAGAGCTGGTAACCTGACCTCCTTCCCCCCATCTTGCCTGGTTTACCTCTCTCTCTGCACCTCAATAATCACATGTTCATACCTGTACCCTCCATATCCTGGGGCTACACATCCATGGATTCAACCTGACTCCATTCTTCTTTAAAAGAAAGTCCGAGCTGGCTCGGTGGTCCACACCTATAATCCCAGTGACTCTCAGGGCTGAGGCAGGAGGATCACAAAAGTCTCCCAATTCCAGGACAGCCTGGGCAGCTTAGCAAGACCTTTTCTCAATATAAAAATAAATAAGTAAAAAGAACAGGAGATGTAGTTCAGTGGTAAAGCACCCTGGGATATGATCCCCAGTGCCAAATGGAAAAGAAAATTAAATAACAAAATAAATAAATAAATAAATAAAGGCCACCAGGAGTGGAACCACAGAGCTGATTGGAATGAGGAATGTACCTTTTTGAATCATAATTTTTGTAGAAAAATCATCGTTATAAAATGTGTCTTATGTGGCTCTGCCCTTTGTAAACTCAGCCAATTCTGCTTCCCTATTTTTTTTTTTAATTGAAGCAATAGCTTTGGCGTTTTTGTAAAAATCATAAATGCCTATTGTAAAAAATGCAGAAAACCACTTCCCTAGCCTCTTTCCACTCTGATGATCACCCAGAACTTCCTACTCCCTGGGATTCATGCATCTGTCAGCATGTGGGCACACTGCTGGCTCCATGTGCTCCATTCATGGTGCTCTGTGACCTACATTCTCATACATCATTTGTTATGAATTAGCAAATGCATGGATGAAGTTTATCCCATCATGTGAATTTGTGCAGTGCCAGGCAGATGGGTTTTCCAGAAGACTCCTGGAAAAGGCTCATGAAGCTACTGCTTGCCGTAAGATGAATCTGGCCCCATCTGCAGGTGAGTGGGGTTCCTAACTCCATGTGGCTATGAATATGGCCTTACTTGGAAATGGAGTCTTTGCAGATGCAATTAGTTTTTGTTTTTTTTTTTTTTTAATTTTGTTTTAATTGTAGTTGGACACAATACCTTTATTTTATTTTTATGTGAAGCTGAGGATAGAACCCAATGCCCTTCCCATAAGTGCTCTACTGCTGATCCACAACCCCAGTCCCAGATGTAATTAATTTAATTCTGATTATATTGTAGTGGTCCAGGATAGGCCCTAAGTTTAATATGAGCAGTGTCCTTGTAAGAAGAGACAGAAGCCCAGACATACAGGAAGACACCACTGTTGATGCAAACAGATCAGGATGTAAAATATAAGCCCAGCACACTCAGGATACAGCTCAGACATCCAGGGCTCTGCCCTGCTTTAAGGTCATTGACCATTGGGGGGAGGGCAGGAGGTGTGGAGTAGAGTCTGGCTGCTGGAGCCGAGAAGGAGACAGGAGCCAGGAGGGTCATGGGTCATATCAGGGGCACACACCTTATATGCATGCAGGCATGTATAACTATTTTTTAAATAATAATAATTATTATTCTTTTTTGGTACCAGGAATTGAACCCTGGGATGCTCTACTACTGAGCCACATCCTCAACCCCCAGTCCTTTTTATTTTTTATTTTCAGAAGGGATCTTACTAAGTTGCTTCGGATCTTGCTAAATTGCTGAGGCTGGCTTTGAACTTGTGATCCTCCTGCCTCAGCCTCCCCAGCTGCTGGGATTACAGGAGTGCACCACTGTGCCTGGCTTTTTTTTCAATAGATGGTCTCTATATTGCCCCAGCTGGCCTTGAACTCCTAGCCTCAAACTGTCCCCCGGCCCCAGCCTCCTGTGCCTGACTCAATAGCTGTAGAATTTTGATGGAGGTGAAATCACATTTTATAAAATTGCCTCCCCCCTTTTCTGTGATGCAGGGAATGGAACGAGGGCCTCTTGTGTGCCAGGAAAGTGCTCTACCATTAGCTCATCTAGCCTCCTTACTAGCTGGGATTATCAGTATGCACCATTGTGCATGGCTTAAAATTAATCCTTTTAAGTGATAGTCCGGGGACCTTCAGCTCACAATGTTGCCCAGCCACCCACTCTGTCTAGTTCTGAGCCATTTTCATTACACCAAAATAGAGCTCTATCACCATTATACAGCTACCTCAGATTCTGGCCTCTCCCAGGCACCCACAGTTCTAGCAAATGCACAGCCCAGATATATCAGCTCAGCTGCACCCCAGCCTTCACCCCGTTTTCTACATTCAGGCAGCAGTGAGGGTAAATTAGTGCGTTTCAAAGTTTTCAACAAATGACCCTGAAGGGGAAATGCTTTTTTAATACTAGATGAATCAAATCAGGTTATGCTGTCGACAGCCCAGCTGGGTCAGGGCAGTGGGACAGGTGGCCAAGACCCCAGGGCAGACACCCAAAGTTGGGCATTGAGACAGGTTTCCTAAGAAGTGCTACAGAAGGTCCCATGGAGAACAGGGGAGGGGCGGGACTTTGTGCTTCTCCAGGGAATAGTGTTCCATCCCCACAGTGCCTTTCCCTCTCCAGTGTGCTCTAATCTGCACTAGTTTCCCCAGGGAGGGGTTGTGGGGGTTACCAGCAGATCAGCTTAGCTAGCTTTGTCCCACCCAAAGTACCCAGAGAACTTGGTGAGCACACACAAAAGAACTTGGTGAGCACACACAAAAGTAGCTTTCTACAGGTAACACTAACTTGCCCTGATTCCCAGCAAGTGTGAGAGAACGCCAGTGTCCATGGGACAATGTGTACTGTGGACATTCTGGCCCAGCTATGCTCTCTAATTAGTGCCTTGACATAGCTAGGTTCTTGTGAACAGAGAGGGAGACTTAAGGGACATGGTGTTTCATTGTCCTCTTTTTCCAGGGATGACAGGTCAAAGAAATCCAGCCTTGCTAAGGAGGGATGCCTTCCAGGAACTCCACAGAGGAAGTACACCTCCCTGTTTTCAAGGATGCCACAGAATTGGAGGGGGTAGCAGGGATGAGCCAAGTCAAAATGCTACAGAAGTCACTATCCTTACAAAGCTCCACCATTTTTCTTAAATAAATGCTCCCAGATTGCTGTCTCCACTGGTTAATTTCCAGACTTCTTATGAAACTTTCAGTATTATTCTATGTGGCCCTGAAGGACTGTAGAGATAAGAGCAAGCTAAGATTTTAAGAGGGAGAGTTGAAGGGAAACATTTAGCATAGAGAGGGAATCAGGAGGAAGGAGCATGGGAAGGAGTGGGAAGATACTAGAGATGAAGTGGGCCAAATTATATTTCCCTGTAGGTACAAATACACCCCTATGATATTCATCATCCTGTATAATTAACACACACCAATAAAATGTAGTGTTGTTTTGTTTTGTTTTGTTTTGTTTTGTTTTTCCTAATTTCCAGAATTCTTAAAAAGCTGATTGGGCCTTTTTTTTTTTTGCAAGTTTTCTCACTGAGAAAGGTTGAGGTGAGAATTCTCAGCAGCCCCCACTTGAATTTCTCTGATGTCTCTGAAGTTCACATTTAAGAAATAAATGAATTAGCATCATAAGTTCCCTGTGAAGGAGGACAGTGACCCACTAGCTGGCCATGCAATTCTGTTAGGGGATGGCAACCAAAACTAAAAGAATATGACTCATCCTGGGCACAAGGGCCACACCTGTAATCCCAGCCACTCTGGAGGCTGAGATGGGAAGATCCCAAGGCTCTCCTTGCCCTCGGTGGTGGGTGTGAGGAGGATTCGATTCGGTGACCCCGAGCCCGCGGAAATCAGGATCAGAGCCTCCTCCATTACCTGTCAGGCGCAAAGCGGCAGGGCAGGGGACGCCTGGGGGGGGGGGGGGGGGGGGGGCGGTGATCTGGGAGGGTGCCAGGTCCTCTGGGGGAATCACGTGGTGGGGAATTCCGGCCACATCTCTACATACCCAGCGGTGGCTAGGAGGCTGGCTGAGAGGAAGCGCCGCGGGGCACGTGACCTGTGGATGAAAAGAGCGCGGGACCGCGGCTAGGCTCTTTGCGCTGTAGGTGCCAGCGGGTAGGTGGCAGGATCTCCCTGGGCAGGATTCAGACATGCGGGGTGCTGCAGGTCTTGTGGGTGCCAAGGGTCCCTGTGGCAAGGATTCACTCCTTGGATACCGGATTCCATTGCATAGGGTGCGGGGAGGCGGAATATAGGTCTCCTGGGCGCCAGAGACCTCTACTAGAGAAGGTGATGCGGGATGCAGGTGCGGGTTATGAGTCTCGCTGGGCTGGGTGCTGTCCAGTGGGTACTTAAGGTCCCACGGGTCGGGGTGCAAGGCCGGGTGGTGAGGAGGCCCTGGGGCAGTATTGCGTCCTTAAGCGCAGGCCGCCTCCTCCTGCTAGTTCAAAGTTTCGGTTTCGCAGGGCTGCGGTTCAGCGCTGTCCCGACCCCAGCTCTCCGGCTGCAGGCGGTGGGGCTGCAGGCCTTTCCTGGGTACGGTGCGACATCCCTGGAGGACAGTCCACCTACCTGTGTCCCGCTCCAGCCCGGGGGTCGGCAGGAGCCCCCAGACAGCACAGCTGGGGTGAAAAGCTGCAGCTAGAGCGCTTAGCGCAGCAGGACGTGGGATCTGGGACCCGCGGCTCCGCCTCTGTAACCGCTGTAGTGACTTTTAGGAGAAAGGCTCGCTTTCCAAGCAGCTTTGCAGGCTGCCTAGGGGTCATCTGTGTTAGGCCAAGGTTCTTCCATAGCTGAAGGTCCACCTGAGTTCCCTGCCCACCTTCCCCAAGTTCTCAGTGGTTGTCTGGAAAGCTGGTCTGGCCTGCAGTCTGAGCTGCAGTCTTAGCCTCCCTGGGTGATGGCCGAGACAGAAGGGGGCTTCTGGATGGAAGGGGATCCAGGGCAGAGTGGGACTTGGGATTGGGCAATGACCATGAGCAACCACAGGAGTCAAACTGCTGCTAGATTTCCATTGGCCCAGGGAACTTTCTGGCTACAGCAATCTCACTTTCTCACAAAATGAAACTTAAATGGGACTGTGGTCACATGACAGGAGGCACAGTTTATAGCTGCTGCCTTGGGAACTCTTGCTTCTCTTTCAGACCTGCAGGGGAAGGGACACTGGGCTAGAGGATCCCCCAGCCAGAGACAGCACATCTCCTGCCAGGAGGCCTCCAAGTTCTGTAGCCAGTGTGAAGAGAGGCTGCCTCCTACAGCCCCAGGACCAGGCAAATCCCAAGAGGCACTGGGGTAAGTGGAGAGTGTGGGCATCTGTGCCTTCCAGGCAGATGGGAGCAGGGCCAGCTTGCAGCCTCAGAGAGGCCTGACCCTCCCCCCACAGAACTCTTCCCAGGGGGCACTTTCCTCAAGCAGTTCAGAAACCACACCAGGGTCTTGGGGGAGGATAGGGCTGATCTTGCAGGGGTTGTCCCAGTGTGGCCTTCTGGTGCTCCCTGCCTTTTCCATGATTTGACCTGTCCTTCATCTGCCTGTGTAGATTCTGAGAACAATAACTCCTTGGTGGCCTAATCCCTGAAGGAAGAGATGGAATGCAGGGAAGTGCTGAAGGAAGATGGGGACCTGTGCTTGTCCCCAGGCTCCAGTGATTGGCAGGAAAATGCAGCTGAGCCCAGTTCCGATGAAGGGTCCTGGACCATCCAAAGAGTGAGTGAGCCATGCTGCCTCCACCCATCCCTGCCCCTGCTCTGTTTCCCTGGTGGCTAAGCTGGGCTGTCTGAGTCACCCTCACTGCCTCCATGTGTCCCCTGCTGCCCGACTTTTTCCCTGCAAACTTACTGCACTGCAGTCCAGCTGGCCCTAGAAGTGCTACCACATGGGCAGTGGCCTGGCTGCCCCAGTGTCTGGTCCATCCCCACAGGAGTCTACGGGCTTCAGGCCCTGGGTCTCCACCTTCCTTTCCCAGCCCTAGACCAAATATGTGGGTGTCTGAGGAGCTGTGGCTGGGCCATGAGTGGGTCCCACTATCCTCTGGGTCTATGTGTCGAGGTATGGGGCTGGGTGCACCTCTACTGTGCTGCAGGGCCTGTGTGTGGGTGCTCCCTGGTTGGCAGGTGCTCTTCCTCAGAGTGAGGTCCCATTGGCCTCTGGGAGTTGTCAGGCACTGGGGAATTATTGTTTGGTAAAGGAACCCACTGGAGCCCCAGGAAGTTTCTGAGAGGGATCTCTCTGCAGGTGTTCAGGAGCACTAGGTGTGCTCCCTGACTCAGCTCCAGCTCACAGACACCCAGAGTGCGGCACCTGCTCCCAGGCTTCCTCCTGGGCATGGAGGGGATTGGGGCTTTCTGTTCCTGGGCTGGGTCTGGTTTGTGAGGTTCCTTGCAGAGGGTGCTCTGTGGTTCGGAGTGTGGCAGTGACATACTGAGGTGCAATATATGTGATGCCTGCAGGGGAAGGTATATGTGTGTAGTGTCTGGTGTATGTAGTGTGTGTGAGGTGAGTGTTGATTTGTGCATGTGTGCCAGGGTGCAAGGCCTGTCTGTGAGGAAAGAGGTGTGTGTGTGTGGTGTATGGTTGTGTCCTTTCCCTGGAGTCACCTCTTCCTCAGCAGGGAAGGCCACCCAAACCTGGATTTTGAGGGATACTGAAGGCTTGGCTGAAACTTCCAGTGAGAGTCACCACAGAGACACTTAGGGCATGACAATTAAAAATGTTGCATTGCACAGCAGGACAAGGTTCTTTTTAAACATTCGGAGAGTAAATTGAAGAATCTTTGTGGAAGAAAAAAATGAGTAATAGCCAGATACCATAGCTGTGCTCAATGGTACATGCCTGTAATCTCAGTGACCAGGAGGCCCAGGCAGGACGATCCAAAGTTCAAGGCCAGCCTCAGCAGCTTAGTAAGACCCTGTCACAAAAAAAAAAAAAAAAGAAGATGAAAAAAGAAAACGATTGAGGACAAGAGCCCTGTATCCAATCTCAACTTCATACCTTAAGAAACTAGGAAAAGGTGAGGAAACTAAACCCAAAGACAAAGAAGGAAGGAAATACTAAATATTAGAGCAGAGATTTTTTGAAAAGGAGAGAATAGAAGAGCAACAGAGAAAAACCAATGAATCAAAAGGTTGAGTCTTCCAAAAGACCAATAAGATCCATAAACTTTTAGACTAATTAAAAAAAAGGAGATAATATGTAAAGAACTCAGAAGGTCAAGGGTCCTATATTTTATCTCTTATATGGAAGCTATAGAACAAAAAGGGAAAGGAAAGGGGGGGCAGACCTCATGACAATCAAAGGGAGACCAGTGGAAGAAAAGAAGGTGCAGGTGGGAGGTGGGGAGGAGGGGAACTGCTGGGGAGGAATCCTGGCAAAATGGTATTGTTACATTGTGTATTGCATGCACCAATATGCAACAGCAAACACCATCAATGTGTGCAATTGCAAAACAGGAATGAGCAAAGATTCCAGACTGGGGTAGAGCCCTTGCCTAGCACATGGGTTCCATCCTCAACACCACATGAAAATAAATAAACAAACAAACAAATAAAGCATATATTTTTAAAAGGTGTGAAAGAAACTAAAGTAGAAATGAAGGTGAAGACATTACTGATGACTTTATAGAAATAAAACTCAATTTGAGGGAATATCATAGAGTTGGCATTTGGTCACCAAATGTTTAACAAAACTTACTTAATTGTGGCATCGAAAGCACTAGAAACAAAAGGAAAAAGTAGAAAAATTGGACTTTATCAAAATTTAAACTTTTTTCATTTAGAGGAGGAGAAGAAAAACTGAAAAGGCAGCCAATGGAATGGAGAGGTATTTGTAAATCATGTATCAGATAAGGGTTTAGTATCCATGATATATAAAGAACTCATGACTCAACAACAAAAAGACAGTCCAACTTAATTCTGGACAAAAGATTTGCCTGAAGCAGACTGCCTTCCCCTCCCTTCTTTCTTCATACTGGGAATTGAATCCAGGGCCTCCTGCATGCTAGACCAACACTACCACTGAACAGCATCCCAGTCCTTATTTTATTTGGAGATGGTCTCACTAAATCACCCAGGCTAGCCTTGAACTTGAGATCCTCTTGCCTCAGCCTCTGGAGCAGCTGCAATAACAATTATGCACTGCCACACCTGGGTTGCAAAAGCTTTTCTCCAAAGAAAACATACAAGAGGCCAAGAAGCCTGTGAAAGGCATCAGCACCCATTGGTGGTTAAGTGCAATGCAAAACCTCTTGACACACCACCTAAAACACAGTAGGATAGCTGTGATAAGAAGTGTCAAATCACAGGGGTCGGTGAGGAGGTGGAGAAGTTGGAGCTGTGGTGTCATGCTGGGGGGAATGTGAAGTCCTACAGCTACTCTGTAAAGGAGTGTGGCAGCTTATCAGAAAGTTAAATTCAGAATGCCATATGACCCAGTAGTTCCACTAAGTATTCATCCAAGAGAAAAGAGAACAGGTGTTTGAACAAATGCCTGTCTGCACATTCAGAGCAGCAGAGCCATGGCACTCCAGTGGCACAGCAACCCAGGTTGTCCTCAGCGGGTGAACAGCAGGTAAACTACTTAGGCTGTATACACTCGGTGGAATATCAGTCAGCCATAATAAAGAAGGAAGTGTACATATCCAAACTGTAAGGAGAGTGGACCTCAGAAACGCAGTGCTACAAGAAGGAACCCGAGGTGCAAGGCACAAACTGTGTGAGGCCTGTTATAGGAAACATGCAGAACAAGCTCATCCAGAGAGATGAGTAGCTCAGAATTGGCAGGGGTTGGGGGCACTGTGAGATTGGTTGCTTTTGGGGTGATGAAGTGGGAGCATAGTACAGGTGGTGATTGACGACATTGTTGAGTGTTTACTTTCAAATGTTTGGGGCAGGGGTGTGGCTCCGTGTGGAGCACTTGCCAGCATGTGTGAGTCCCTGGGTTCCAGCCCCAGCACTACAAAACAGCAGCAAAACCACTCCAAACTGTCTATTTTTGTATGATTTTCGCACTGTGTGTGGTGTTGTCATAGGAGATTTATTTAAAACATATGCCTGAAGGTGCAGAAGCTGCAACTGAAAGAAACTGGGAGCTAAGTGCACAGGTGAGCACGGTAAGTGTCTCTGGGCAGTGGCTTCCCAGTCCCACAGTGAGCCTGCATCATGCTTCACCTGAGCTGGTATTGCTGTTGAGAGAAGGTCTCCGAGCTAAGACCTGATGTTCCCAGGAGGTGGGCAGAGCCTGGGGGTGCCCTGGACCTCAGAAGCCAGGATGAAGTCACCAGCCACTTCCCAGCCCTCCCCAGCAGAACTGAGCATGTCCTACCACCTGCCCAAGAGAGTGCTATGGTCCACAGGGCCATGGGGAGGTGGCCAGCCTCCTTCTGGCCCTTTCTTCAGTAGCCACTGGATGCTGGCTTGTGGGCTTCTGCTTGCTGGCTCTGCATCCTTCCAGAGGCTCAGAGATTTGTTCTTCAGGCAGCAAGGAAGCGACCTAGCAGGGGCCTGAGTGGGTCAGGTGGGAGGCTCCAAGTGGCCCTAGGCCCTCAGTGGCTTCCCTTCCTCAGCCTTTTGCTGGTATGATTTGACAGAGGCTTCCTGGTGGAGGCACACCTGGCCTCCGGAGGCTCTGAAGGCTGTGCTTGGCTGAGTGTTGGGTGCCTGGAATGACCTGCCCCCTCTGGTGCCTCTGCAGCTGTATTTGTTGGAAGCAGGGGCCCAGGTGTTCAGGTGGATGCTCCAGGGGACCAGGACCTGATTTGCCCACCTGCATCCCCCTTCCTATTGGCCTCAGCTGCCTTGGGCTCTGTGTTGTGTTTTCCCTGCTCCATGAGGTTTCCCTAATTGGGCCTGGCTGAGGCAGGGCTCCAGGGTATGTGGGTGACCCTGCGCTGTCTGAAGGGGTCATGTCTCAACAGGTAGTGGCCTCTGGACCTTCTGTAGATGCAATAGAGGATGTACCTGGTGAGCAGGCAGCTGCCCAGCGCCTTCCCAGCAAGAGGAGAATGAATGAGGCTGCTCTGTGCGAGGTCTTGAACACCTTCACTGCGGACGATGAGCAGGTAGTCTGTGTTTCTGGCTGCAGAACCTCCCGCCAGCCCTGGAATAGCTGGTCACCCTCACGCCTCCACTGAGAGGGCTGAGCTGGGAACTGGGCTATTTGTGAGGCAGCAGCACCATTCAGGTTTTGGGCCTTGTGGCAGGTCATTTTGGGGGTGCCATCTTTCTGTTCTGTGCTGCACATCCTGCCTGCTCACCCTGACTCCCAGCTTCTATTTCTTGTGGAAGTCTCTCCCTTGACATCCACAGGCCACCCAGGGGTCTACTTACCAGCCAGGTGGCATCCAAGTTGGGCACAGGCCCATCAGCAGGCTGTGCTTGAGACACCAGTGGTATGGTGTGTACCCTACTGAGCTTGATGTCTGCTCCTTGGGGTTCAGATCCTGCCCTGTCATTTTCCAGAGCATTGGCTGGGTGTGTTCCAGGTTCACTACAACACAAGAAGCTCACTTGTGTAATGAAGGTGCTATGCATATGAGGAAAGCAGAGCCTCTTCACCCCTGCAGGGGGATGCGGTCACTCGTGGAGGGCTATGGTTTGTCCTGAGTACCATGGTCACACATTGTTTCACACATGAGTCGGGCTGGGCCCTGGTGAGTTTGGAAGACCAGTATGGACCTTCCTCCAGGGGCACCTGAGCTTCTGCAGTTTTGTCCATCAGGGATTTGGGCTGTGTTTGTATTGGAAATGAGTGGCCTGCTGCTGTCCAGGTATGGCCAAAAGGGTGTGGGTACACAGGGGGCTGTCATTGACCAACTTCCCTGGCATTGTCCTCCAGGAGCTGGTTGGGGTCCTTCCAAGGGTCTTCCCTGGGCCACCTCTGCATTTCCTGCAGTCTCCACACCACTTTGTCATGGAGGGTACAGCCAGGCCCTCTTCAGGGCACCTGCAAGCCCCAACCCAGGGTGCCTGCCCTCTTAAGGTCCTGCTGCTGAGTGCCTCCCTGCTGACCACTCCCCTCCTAGAGGGCAGCTAGCAGCTGTTCTAAGGTTGAAGCAGGGTGTGTGCTCTGATGGGCCTGGAGGGTCCTCTGTGCCACGTGGTGACCTGCAGGTATCTACAAGACCCCAGCATCCATTTCATCCTGGCAGTTAGGACATTAGTTACCTGGACTTAGTTTTCACTTCTGTAAGAAGAAAATAACCTAATCTGAGATTTGATTATTCAAACCATTAGAAATGTTTTGTTTCCAAATTACCAAAAATGCAACTCACATTGGTTATGTTCAATTTATTGCTCATATCACTGATGAATCCTGAGGCTGTAGGCAAGATCAATCTAGGCACCCAGCTGGTAGCCCTGAAGTGCAGGTGTGGCTCTGCCTGTCTGCACTGCCTCCTTACCCTCCTGGCCACTGTCTCTAGTGCTCTGGACCATCCCATTCCTTGGTCACATGGCATCCACAGTTCCCTGCCTCAGTGCTTCATCCAGGGAACAAAGGATGCTCCTTCAGAACAGAGGGAAATGACCCAGTTATCTCACTCCTTGCTCTATACCCAAAGGACTTAAAATCAGCATACTACAGTGACACAGCTACATCAATGTTCATAGCAGCTCAATTCACAATAGCTAAACTGTGGAATCAAACTTGATGCCCTTCAACATATGAATGGATAAAGAAACTGTGGTACTTATACACACTGGAATACTACTCAGCATTAAAAGAGAATAAAATTATGGCATTTTCAGGAAAATGGATGGAATTGGAGAATATCATGGAAAGGTGTGTCAGGTGGATGTCCCTGTGGCTCTGCCAGGAGGCCCTCCCACAGCAAAGCTCTGGTAGCCAGGTTGCTGGAAGGATGTGTGTCAAGCAGCTTCCAGGGGCAAGACCTCACTGTCCTCATTGCAGCCTGCCCCTGGCTCCTCACAGCCCTTATCTGCTACAGGGATGAGCCAGCTGGCCCTGGGGGCTTGGAAGCATGTAGCACCCACCTGTCAGCCTCTTTCCCTTGGGCCTCCATAGGGAGCTTCACTGCCCACGTCCTCTTGGCATTTATATCCCACTGCCCACTTGCATGAGGACTAGCCATCCCTGTCTGTGTTGCTGGCCTGTCCCCATCCCTGATGCTGTACCCCTTTGGTGACATTGAAGTCTCTCCATTTCTTATGTGGACCACATCCTGGGCCTTAGCCCCTCTGCACTTCTGCCCATTCCCTGCTCTATCACCTCAGCCTTGATGCTCCACCTGTCCTAAGGCAGAGGCCTACTGCAGGTGCTGGCTGAGCTGGCGGAGTGCCTTTCCCAAGCCCACCTGTCCTCACTCACCCTGGCTCCCAGCTCTCATGTACCTGTGTCCCACCTGGAGGTGTCCTGGTTCAGTTGTTCTGCACTCAGTGCTGCCCCCAGGTGCTGCCAGAGTCACTGCCTGTGTCCAGGCCTCACTCACCTCCAGAGCTGCTGCTTGCACTGAGTGAGGGCAGTGAGCAGCCTGAGCCTCATGGGGTCTTTGTGTGCTGGATTTTGGCTTTCATTCTGGGTGAGCAGGAGCCTTAGGAGGCAGGGCTCATGTTTGTGCACAAAGACCTGTGAGTCCTTGCCAAGCAGAGCAGGTTGGATTAGAGCTTCTGCATCTTTCAGACTCAGCCTCTTGCCACCTTCTCCAGAAAGCCTATGAGTCAGAGTGGCCTCTGACCTCCCACCGTGCCCTCCTGGCTGGATTTGTCCTTGGCATGTCTCTTGATGTGTCTTAGCCTGCCTCATGATGCTGTCAGCATCGTGGGACAGGACCCTGTTTTGCCCTCATGCCCTCATGGTCCTTGTGCCTCACAGAGGCCCATATCACTCAGTGGCTCAGTATGGAGGCAGCACCACTTGGATTAAGCACTGACATTTCAGGGTCTCTGGGAAGGGCTTAGGGAGTGTGTCCCTCCCGGAGCCTACACTGCTTTGATGTGGTAGTTTTCAGCAATTTCTTGGAACCATTAGGATGCTGACAGACACCATTAAGGTCAGGAGACCCCAGACCTGTCCAGCAGTCTCAGAGGCTTCCTAGTGACCCTGAGGTGTCATGGAGAAGACCACCAGTGACTGTACTATCTCATGCTCATGACTGGGCCTGAGCGGGCAGCATAGGCCTCCAAGGAGCCTGTGGAAATGAGTACCCTGGAGCCCACCCAGACTGCTGAGTCACTGCACATGTTAACAATGTCTTGGGTGATTTGGTTGCCCTTGGAAGATGGAGAAGTTTCTGTCTTAAATCTTTTTTTCTTGTGCAAAGTCCTGGGTCCCATCCTCAGCACCATAAAAAGAAAAAAGTCTCTTAAGCCCTGTCTTTCTACTGCACACACACTGGGCGCTGACTCTCATGAGCCCAGTCAAGAGCATGAGTCAGGCTAGGAGTGCTCTGGGTACCTGGAGGGATTTCGTGGGCATCTGAGCAGTTCTGCAGGAAGGTCAGCTAGGATTCTTGGGGAAGCTGCATAGTGACTCAGAAGAAGGCCACACATCCTAGGCACAGATGTACCCAAGTTCTTCCCTTTTCTTGATGGCTTAATGCAAGGAGTGAGGGTCTAGGGCAGGTGCAGGTTCACCCCCAGCTGTCTGGGGTGGCAGGGTGTCCCCACATACAGCCAGGACTCAGGATGTACGAACCACTTGCTTTCAGTGGCCCATTGACACCTCCTCTAGAGCATCACAGCCCTTGGGGCCAGGGTCCCAGTGGCCTGCTCCTCACAAGCTGTGTTACTGGTTTCCAAGGCAGGAGCCTTGCCTGGGAGCTGCCTGAGCCTTCCAGAGCTCAGGAGCAGTCTTACTGCTCCTCCACACTCTGCAGTCTTCTCACCTTTATTCTGGTTTTCTTGCTTGTGACACATACTACGAAGAGTGTCACGTGAACAGTCCATGAATGTTGTAGTGTCCAAGAGCGATCTTGTAGTGACACCCCCAGCCCCTTTATGCAAGGCTCTGCCTGGCCTCTTGCCCCTTCGTTCCCCTAACCCCCACCCTTGGTTTCTTAATTCAGTTCCACCCATGATAAAGAAGTTGCAGGAATGACCAATGTAAGTGGTTCAGCAGAGCTAAGCTTGCTGTACCAGAGAAATTGGGACACAAAAATGGGAGGGAAACGTGGGGCAAGTTGTAGTAAACCTAAGAAGTAAAATTGGTATGTCTCTCCTGTTTAGAACAAAAGAAAGAAAAGGAGGAAGAATCAGGACACCACTGCTTCCTCAGAGCAGGGTTCCTTGGCCCCATCGCCTTCCATTCCCCAGAGTCCAAATTCACCTTCACACCCCTGGTCCCAGAACCCAGCCCTGGCCCAAAGCCAAGCCCCGCATGCTGGTCCAGCTGGCCAGTGCAGGGGTGCAGCCACAGGAGATGTGGCTCAGAGCAGGCCAGCACCACAGGACCACATTGAAGAAGTGGATCTCCACACTTCCACGCCCTCTGGGGCCAGGGGCCTCTCTCAGGAGGTGTCTGGGCCACCCACATCTACCTGCAAAGCCCACCCTAAGCCTGAAGATGCTGCCCAGGGGCTCCCACTGCCTGAGTCCAAAGGGGATTCTGAGCCTCAGAAAGAAGCACAGAGGGCCAGGCAGCACGTGGATGTCCCAGCCTCTGGGGTGAGTATAGTGAGTGGTGGCCAGGGGCATGGGACTGGCCCTAGCACCTTTGGTATGCCATGTGGGTGAGACATTACTTCCCTATCTGGGAGGGCAGCTGTGGAGGCAAGACGGGACTATTGACCCTACACTCGGCATTAAGGCCAAAGCTGATCTTAAGCCGTTGGGGCAGAGCAGCCTTTCCATTTGTCTCTGTGGCTCAGACCCCAGGAGTCTGGGGTCTTTATTTCCTCCAGGGAGTTCACACTACAGCTGAGCCAGATATTCCAGTTAACAGGACTGGGAAACAAATGAAAGATAAGGTTCAGTCGCAGCAAATGAGCTGCCAGCAAGTCCCCCTGCTTCCAAGGAACAGTGCCAGGTACAAGTGTCTCTCCAGGCTGGGCTGGGGGACACTGCTTGGCCTTCCCAGCCCCTTCTGCTATAGCCAGTCCTAGCCCATCTTCAGTCTGATTGTGTGGCACGTTATGGAGAGCTAGGGACAGTGCAAAGGAGACCAAGCCTTCCTTTAAGGAGCTCTCATTCTTGATGGGGGAAGACTGAGGTCAAGCCAGGCAACAGGAAATCAGCTGGGAAAAAGAGCATGGTTGGTACCAGGAGGGTCCCCAGGAATGTGATGGTTGGTGCCATGAGGGAAGGTGGCCCTCAGCCAGGGAAGCTGGCTGAGGCTTCCAGGGAAGTGCTGGGGGAGCAGAGGCTAGAGGGAATGAGGGGTGAGCTTTGGGGTCCCTGGGGACACATTCAGATGAAAGGATTGGCGTGCTAAGGCCTGGGGTTATCTTGTGGCAGCCTGTTCTCAAGGGAAGGAACTAGTGTGCCCAGTAGTGAGAGAGGGAGGAGGGCCCAGGCAAGGTTGGGGAAGGGTCCTCAGAGGCCATGGGAGTAGACTGGAAGGACTGGACAGTCCACCTGGGCTGCTGTGAGATGCATGGCTGAGGGGCAGCCTTTCAGGCTGGGGCTTGGTTGCTCGTTTCAGGAGGGTGAGATCAAGGACGGGTTGGCTGCTCCTGGAGAAAAACCAGGTGAAAACAGCTCAGAACCCAAAGACTTGAGGAAGCCAGAAGGGAGTGACAAAAATGACACAGCTGCTATAACAAAGGAGAAGGAGCAGAAGAACCAGAAGGCCAGCACTCAGGCCATCCCCTCAAGGTACCAGGCTGCCCCGCCCAGGCACAGGGATGCTGTCCGCACCTGTTGAGGGCCCCTGTGACAAGTCCAGCTGTGGGGTTTGCAGGGGAGGTGGGCTGGCCAGGTTGGGGTTTCACACTCTCTTTTCCTCTTCTTGGCCGCTCATGGTGGGCAGCGGCCAGGTGTGAAAATGACCAGTAGAGAAAGAGGAGGTGGGCTGGGCCAGGAGCAGTTGGTGACCAACTGCTTCCTTCCCTCTTCCAGCTGGCTGAACCCCGAGGAGGGGATCACCGTGTACTTCCATGCCATCATCCCCAAGCATGTCACCTTCGACCCCATGCTCCACACTGTGTTCATCAGGGGAGGAGAAGAGCTTGGACAGCCCGAGTGGAGTGACGCTTGCGAGATGTACTACACTGAGTGAGTCCTGGGGCCCCCAGTCCCCTTGGTGTTTGTTAGAGGTGATCAGTGAGTCCCCAGGGTCCCCCTGCTCCCTGGGTGAGTGTGTTTGACACTCCCAGCATGCATTCTTTGTCTCACTTCGCCATGGCTCTTTTTTCTGTTCTAACTAGAAAGAAAGCCCTGCCCTGTTCTAGACATGCCATCTTGGTCAGTGTCCATTCTATAATTTTGGGTCTATGTTCCTGGTGTGTTTGAGAACAAAATCTTCTGATGTAAGACTTCCGGATAACTGGCCAGTGTCTGTTGATTTGCAGGGACTTACATGAGTACGGGTCCCTCATCGAGGGCAGCATTGTCATTCCCAGGCAGAGCCTGGATAGAGCCATCCCTTACAAGTATGTCCTTCACTGCGGCCAAGGCTCCAACTGCACCGTGGAGTATGAGTACATCTATGAGCAGCCGCAGAAGGCGGGCGAGCACGTGAACCGCTGCTTGTGTGTCAAGTCCTCCCTCCTGCGCTCCGGAGGTAAAGGGCCTCTCCCATGGCACCTGTGTCCTGGCCTGGGTGGGGCTGTGTGGAGCAGACTGCCTGGTCTGCATGGGTCCTCTGTTGTGCGCTGCCCCTGCTGTGGTTTAACTTAGGTGAGAGAGGAAATGGGAAGGAGAGAGGACGAAGCCAAAGGAAGGGTTGGGGCTGTGTGCAGGGTGGGCCCAGGTACCGGGCAGACTCTGGAACAAAGCAGGGAACAGGGAGTTGCTGGCTGGCCCTTCCTGGAGGCGTCCAGGTGTGACCAGAAGCAGGACAATGTGTCAAGAGCCTCCCTATGGGCCTCTGTATTTGTCCTCATCACATTTTGCTGGTGGCACTTGGGTGGCTTCCGCATTCCATCTGCTGAATCTTTGGAAAGAACCCTCTGCACCTCTTCAGTCCCTCAGCAGCTCTTCCTTGGTGACCCTCTCTGCAGATACTGGCTATCCTGTCCTGCCTGGGCACCTAGCTCTATCCTGAGCGACCTCCGAGACCCAGAATTTTAAAAATATGTTTTCTGGGCTGGCCTCAAGTGTCTGGGCTCCAACTAGAAAGGAAGCCCTCCTGCCTCATTCTCTTGAGTGGCTGTATGTGCACCATGATACATGGCTGTACACGTAATTTTAAAAAAATATATTTATTTTTTTTAGTTGGACACAATATCATCTTTATTTTATTTATTTATTTTTATGCGGTACTGAGGATCGAACCCAGGGCCTTGCATGTGCTAGGCAAGCACTCTACTGCTGAGCCACAACCCCAGCCCCTGTACATGTAATTTTTAATAACAATAGTGTACTCCAAGGACTTCAGCTTTGAGGCGAAACTGGACTTCATCAGATAATTCCACAAGGAAAGATGGAGCTTCTTCTCTGACAATTCCCACAAAGAGAGGGGCTAGAGTGGGCTTAAGGAGAAGCTCGGGAGGAGGCCATGCCCAAATCCGCATATGAACCCTGGCCAACTGTCACCTGGCAGAGGAAAGGACAGGGTAGAGCTGGGGTGGCAGGGCCTACCAATGCGACAGTAGTGTGCAGTAGCTTAGGGCCTCCTAATCTGATCTCCATCTTGTAGTCTTCCTGCTTCAACCCTGGAGTTACTAGGATTACAGGCATGTACCATCATGCCCAGCTCTCTGCCCTCTTATAGGTTTTCTCTCTTTTTTTCATTTTCTTTCTTTTTTTGACAGTGTTGGAGGTGGAACCTAGGGCCTTGTTCATGCTAGACAAGTGTTCTACCTCTGGTCTACCTCTAAGCCAGATCCCTAGCTCTTTTATTCATTTTTAAATTTTGAGTCACATTTTCCTAAGTTACCCAGGCTGCCCACAAATTTTGGATCCCCCTGGTTCAGCCTCCTAAATTGCCTGGAGTTCAGCCGTGCAACCACGGTGCTTGGCTAACCACTTTTGTTTTCTAATTATTTTACAGTTAATGTCACTGGGTTTTCTTGGTCTATAATTGTGTCGCTTGCAGTTGGTCCTCAGAATAGCCATAAATTCAGCCCTTGCCCTGTACTGGGCACCTGCTAGTGGCTCGTGGCTGTTGGGTGATCTGTGCCGTTCTCTTTGGGGTGGGTGTTGCTGTTCCACTATGCACCCTGTTCATTTACCAGAACAGTACTCAGTTGCTAGTGAGGGATGAAGTTTTGGTATAAAAAATGTTTAACCTGCATATGGTCATGTTTAAAGCTTTTACCAGGCTTGCTGAACTGCATGGCTAAGCAGAGACTTGGTTTTAAGCTCATCACTGTGGATTGTCTAGAATTTCTCTCTGCAGGGGCATGACCTGCCCATGGTAGCTGATGGAGTGAGTTCTGATCACTTCAGTTTACCAGACTTGTTTTCCTTCCTTCCTTTAATCCTCTGACTGTACTCCCCTGTTTCTGTTTATTTTTCAGAAGGGTTCTCTAAGTTACTAAGGCTGACCTTCAACCTGTGATTCTCCTGCCTCAGCCTCACTGGCATTGTAGACATGTGCCACTGTGCCTGGCTGCTCCCCTGTGTTTCTGTCTTCTGGGGTGGTACCTGGGGTTGGTGGGTTTTGAGATCTTAAGTGTGACATTTTTCTTGCTATCACCCATAGACTGGCATCAATATGATGACATAATTTGCATGAGGCCTCCTGGGACACTGGAGAAATTCCAGAACCTCTTCACTAATAAGATAAAGAAGGAGCTGTTGAAGGGGAAGAGGATGGCAGCCAAGATCATGCTGGGCCGCATCTTCAGCATCCTCCAGACCTGGAACCCCATCAACCTGAGGAACTTCTTTACCCAGTTCCGGCAGTTTTACTCTGTTGTCCGAGTGCCTATGATTTATGAAGGGAAAGCACAGCCCTGGCATAGCCTGGGCCTCAGAGAGGAAGAGGTATCAGTCTTCCCCCAATCACCAGTAGCTCTGGTGTGGGTGGTCAGGGTCCCCTGACCTACTAGAGGCATATAGAGACCCTGTGACTAAGTAGGGCAGGTGTAGAGGGGTCAGAAGGACGTTTCCATCCCTCTGTTTCTGCACCACCTCCTGGGAATTCTCTCCTTATCTCTCCTCCTGATTGCACCCATGAGCCTCATTCCCAGCACCAATCTTGCATTCTTTCCGGGCTTAGGCAGAGTTGAAAGAAAAGGTGGAGCCCATCCTTTCCCCTTCAGCCACACTGAGGCTTGGAGACAGAGCTGGCACTCTTTCTCAGTTTGACATTGAGCTATCATGAGCATCCAGGGGCCTCCCAGACCCCCTCACTACATGGTTTGGGACTGAGCATCGATGTGCTCCTGCTGCTCCAGAAGCCCAAGTGCTGGGGAGGTGGGGAGGTGGGGCAGATGGGACCCTCCCCAGAGCTCTCTGTCCTCAGGACCTTGATCCCCTGCCCAAGGGGCCCTCCAGCCTCCAGGGCACGCACCCCATAGTCATGCCTCTTCTTTTCCCCCTGCATCAGGTGAAGAAACACCTGTGGAAGTATTTGAAAAAGCAGATGAGACCATTTCTGGAAGGAGAGAGTGGGGATGCCCTGCCTGAAGGGTGCCCTGTGAAGAGCAGACTGAGGATGGGTCTGATCATTCTCTTCCTGGTGGAAGATACCAAACTCTGCTTATCGGAGCGTGACCTGACCTCACTGTGCTCCATTCTCTGCCCCAGTCCCTGCTCACCAGATGCCCTGCATAGCGACCTCCACCACATCCTGTTCACATCTGAGAGGTATCCCATGTTTTTTTGTTTTGTCTTGTTTTGTTTTGTCAGAGGTTTCGTAGGCATTTATCATGATTTTTATCTGACTATAGAGATAAGTGCTAGTCAGAGAAAGGCTGAGCGCACACTGGGGAAAAATAAAACCACAGTCATGTTACCACTTGCTCCTGTCACTTTCCTGGCATGTGTGTCATTGCTAGTGTTGTTAAATTCAGTGTTCTCCTGAATACCCTGACTTCAAAAAGCTTCACTGGGCCAGGTACCACGGCTACACTGTCATCCCAGCTACTTGGGAGGTTGAGCCCAAGAGCTGAAGACTAGCCTGGGTAACTTAGTGGAACCCCATCTGGAAAAATAAATGAATAATATAAAGTACATGACAGAAGTGCTCCTTGGAGGACCTTCCTCTTCACGCTCAGCATTCCTTAGCACTGGGGCCCAGGCCTGCCTGTAGGTATCACCTACCTCAGCTGCAAAATCCACAGGGATGCTGTTCCTGCTGTCCCACCTGTGCTGGTGGAAGGACACTGCCCCTGCTGGGTCAGCCATGGCCTTTTATGTGGTAGGGGAGACCTCTTCTGAGCTGCTGTGATTGGAAGATCAGGGTCTCTTCTGTTTCTGTTTGGTTTGAGCTTGGGTAACATCAGGTGGCCTTTCCTGAGCTCTTAGCACCTGTGGGTTTCCTAAGTTTTAAAGACCCAGGCTAGTTGCTGTGTCCTGTATGAAAGAGAGACAGTGGTAAGGAAATCTACAAACAGCTGTGCATGGGTGTGAGAGAAGGAAGAAGCATCAATTTCTGTGCCCGTGGAACACACTCATGTGCCATTCCTTTTAAAATGTAGCTGGGCATGGTGGCATGTGCCTATAATTCCAGTGACTCAGGAGACTGAGGCAGGAGGATTACAAGTTTGAGCTTCAACAACTTAGGGAGGCCCTGTCTCAAAATAAAAAAGGTTGGAGATATAGCTTAGTGGTAGAATGTCTCTGGGTTCAATCCCAGTTTAAAAACAAAAACATTTGCTTTGTGTTTAGGTCCACCATCGCCAGACTGCCTGGTTCAAACCCTAGGTCCTATGTGAATTCGTTGGTTTGAAACCGAGCACCTCAATACCTCAGCTGTATGGTGTGGGTGGAAATGACCTTAGTGGGTGTCTTTTGGCATTTGTGATATCCTGGTGCACTGGGTTGGGGGCCAGGAACTTGTCCCCCTTGCCACCCTTTGCCTCTTGGTCTGGTACTAGGTCCACGTGTATAATGCTCCTTCTGCTGGGTGCAAGTGGCTGTCCCTTCCCTCCTGGGACATCAGACCACAGGGCAGGTTGGACACAGCCATCAATGGCTCACGGTAGGTCTTGGTTCCCTTCCAGATGGCAAGTGTACTTGGTCAACCTGTGCCAAAGATGCATGGTTGCAAGGGTCGTCGACTGGCTGGGCATCCTCCCTGTCCTGCACTACTGTATGCAGCTGGACCCTCCAAGAAAGGACTCTGTGAACCAGTCTGAGGACATCTGGGCTGCCCTCAAGGGAATCTCCTTCTCTCAGTTTCAGAAAGAATTGCTAAATGAGTAAGTTGTAAAGCTGCATTTATGTAAGCACATCTTGGAATGATTCATCAGCACTTTGCCATGGAGCTACATCCCCAGTTCTCCTTTAAATTTTTAATTTTTGAAGCTGGGCATGGTGGCACATGCCTGTAATCCCTGTAACTCAGAGGTTGAAGCCGGAGGATCGTGAGTTCAAAGCCAGCCTCAGCAAAAGCAAGGTGCTAAGCAACTCAGTGAGCCCCTGTCTCTAAATAAAATACAAAATAGGGCTGAGGATGTGGCTCAGTGGATGAGTGCCCCTGAGTTCAATCCTCAGTACCACCTCCGACCAAAAAAAAAAAAAAAAGATTTAATTTTTGAGATGGGTCTTGCTAAGTTGCCTGGCCTGGCCTGAACTCATGATCTTCCTGTCTCTGAAACAACTGGGATCACTGGCGTGGCCAGTGTACTATGCAGTCTTTCTCTTATGACTGTACTAATATGTGTTTACTCATTTGTGTGACAGACACTTAGCAACTCTGTGTATCCCAGGACTTAGCCCTGAGTACCACAAATCTTAGTTTCTGACCTCTAACCTTGCCTTTTAGCTGAAGTGGTGGGTGATGAGTGCATTTGGTAGGGCTGGAGCAAGCTTCTCCTTTTGCTAGCCATAAAGCTCAGGCCAGAGAACTGGCCAGGAAAAGCAGAGTACTTCCACATTCTCTGCTGTCTGATTGTGAGGGCATTGCGGTGTCCCATGGGTGGGAAGCTCAGGCCTCCTGGAGTGGAAGTCTTGGGTGGGCAGGGCAAGGGTACACAGACAATGGCTTGCCCGGATCCCAGGTCTTAAAGGCACAAGTGTATCCAGGTATTGCCAGGCCCCCCTGGGTGGGATGGGGGGTGGGCTTGAACACTTCTGTCCCCACTGAGAACTGTGCTTCATCAGGAGAAATGGTACTCACAGATGCAAAACTCCAAACTAAATAAATGATAAACTGGAATACTAAGCAACATGCATTCAACCAATTTAAAAAGCCAGAATAAGGCCAGGGCTGGGGCTGGGGCTTAGTGATAGAGCACTTATCTAGCTTGGCCAAGGCAATGGGTTCCATCCTCAGCACCACCAAAAAGAAAAAAGTCAGAGCAGGAGTCACAGAGGAATCGAGAGCAAAGGTACCAAGTAGAACTGTATAGGTGGAGAATCAAATCCAATCCCAAACCAAGAGCCTGAGAGGAGAAGCCAGCAGATCCAGATCCATAGCTCTGTGGAGCTCTGTGCCTCCTCTCCAGCAACTGGTAAAACAAATGGCAGGAGAATGAATATGGTACAGATGTTGGGGAGAAAGCTGCAGACCCAGATGGCACCCAGGGGCTCCAGCGCCCTGCATGGCAGGTGTGCCCGTGGGCACATGCAACAAAACAGGCTGCATTCTGAGCTGAACCACTCTCAGTACCCTGAAGGTGCTGCAGTCCAAGGGTGCAGGTTCCTAACCACAGCTGAGCAGATGGCTCTCTGGAAAATCCTTACATGCCTGGATATGTTAACAGCATGCTTCTAAATAAGATCATCTTAGAGTGAGGAAAGGTTCTTCAAAGAAGACATGGAAAGCACAACTACATAAGAAAAATCGAAGGGGGCTGGGCTGTGCTCAGTGGAAGAGGACTGCCTGGCATTGGGCGAGGCCCTCAGTTGCCTCCCCAACACCACAAAAAAAAAGTTTTTTAAATCAAATTTAAGTACAAAACTTAAAGTAAATCTGAATTAAACATGAAAACATCACTGTACTCATTTCCACATACAGATAACCGCCATGTGTGGAATAACCTGTCCCCTTGCCCACCCCGTCCACTTGGAGCCAGCTGCCATCATTAGGGATAAAGGCAGTGAGCTCAATTGTTCCCATCTCTTATCTAGTTTTGAAACCTTTTGAAATGAAAGCCAAATGAAAATGATTTTTTAAAATTTATTTTTTTGGTGCCAGGGATTGAAACCAGGGGTGCTCAACTATGGAGCCATATTTCTAGTCCCTTTTTAATTTTTTTATTTTTTGAGACAGGGCCTCACTAAATTGCTGAGGGTGGCCTTGAACTTTTGATCCCCCTGTCTCAGCCTCCTAAGTTGCTGGGATCACAGGTGTACATACACTTGGCTATTTTGTTTAGTTTTCATTTGATTCGCTCTGTATGTCGGTTCCAGGATGCATTGATATCTACTTTAAAATCTGAGCATTCTGGGCCTTCCCAGCCTTGCTTTTCCTTGTCTTGAGTCTGTTCAGTGCTCTCACTGCTGCCCTGGTCTCTGTCCCGGTTTCTTCATTCAGGAGCCAGTTTCTTGACTTCATGAAGAGCAGGAAGCATTTGCTGTATATGGATGATTATCTCTTTCGATCCTGGTTCAGTTTGCTGCCTCTGAGAAGCCTCGTTCCCTATATGGAAAACTCCACTGAATATTTGAGTCTCATGCCTGCTCGGATCCTGGACTGTTTCCTAGGGACTCTCTACAGGCTGCAACGGCTTCAGAAGATCTCTAAGATCTCAGAAGAACTCTTGGAGGTTTGTGGTTGGAAGTAGATTGTCAGGTCCTTGCTTAGTAAAAGCAGGTCACACACTGAACATTGAATGCTTGTGGGTCTTCTGTCCTGAAGGGGAGGTTGGGGGAAGTGCTCAGAATTGCTGAAATAAGAAGTCATTATTTCTTAGGGTTAAAGTTTAACTTCC